CTCTATCTCCGTGATGAGATGTTAACTACCTCGCCTGGTATACAGGAGGCCGTGGGTTCGATCCCCGACCCTAACGATTGTTGTACATTTGGAGTTTGCGTGTCTCTCTCTCTCCGTGGTGAGATGTTAACTACCTCGCCTGGTGTGCAGGAGGTCGTGGGTTCGATCCCCGACCCTGACGATTGTTGTACATTTGGAGTTTGCGTGTCTCTCTCTCTTTACGTGGTGAGGATGTTAACTACCTCGCCTGGTATAAAGGAGGTCGTGGGTTCGATCTCCGACCCTGACGCTTGTTGTACATTTGGAGTTTACGTGTCTCTTTCTCTTCGTGGTGAGATGTTAACTACCTCGCCTGGTATACAGGAGGTCGTGGGTTCGTTCCCGACCTTGACACCTGCTGTACATTTGGAGTTTGCGGCTGTCTTTCTGCCTCCGCGTGGTCAAGGGGATATTTCTCCGGATCCTCTGTTTTTTTTCCCCCCCTCTCCGCATTTCGAATCGACGTCGGGCGTTTCAGAGTCATTTGGCCGCCGTAAATGCCCCACGCGATGACGAAAAGCCGCTTCCTTGGGACTGTCACTTGTGCGGTGGCCCAGGGCGCTTCTGAAAGAGAGTTACCTAGCTCAGCGGGGCCTTACCCTGGCGGAATAAATAAAAAAAAGGGAAAATAGAATCCTGAGATATACCCAGGCTGCAGAGCCTCCAGGTGTCACGCTGTGGAATGGCTTGGTCGTCGCCAAATATCCTTTATATTCTTAGGTTGTTTCGGTAAAGTCACGTAGGTAAAAAATGTAAATTAATAAAAGTAAAATAAAAATGAAATTAAAATCACGACGTTTCGGAGGCAACACAAGCTTCCGTTTTCAGGTGGAACCGTCACAGCACGATAGCTGTATCAAGTGAGAGAAATTCCAAGAAACAGTCCTTGTATATATACTGGTTGAGGGTGGGAGGAGCCATAGTGTAGTGTATAGTGTAGTGTATAGTGTATATATATGTGATGATGATGAGAGAGAGAGAGACACGCAGACTCCAAATATACAGCAGGCATGGTCAGGGTCGAGATCGAACCCACGACCTCCTGTTGTATACCACGGGTGCCACAGTGGAGCCCTTTCAGGGTCTACGCTGCACAGCTGATGGTACCGCACCCATCTCACCTCTGTGGGTGAGTGGCCCCAACAGTCCTGAGTAAGCCATCCAAAGGCCGGAGCTCACACGTGGGAATACAGTGGCAATTTTGTGTTGTTATTGCTGCTGTTATTGTATGATGAGGATATTTTTTTTCTCTGTGTGCGTGCGTGCGTGCGGTCATTGTGGGGAGCGGTGGTTTGAGCGAGCGAGTGTTGTGAGTGGGTGAGTGAGTGGGGTGAGCGAGTGGGTGAGCGAGTGGGTGAGCGGGTGGGCGAGCGAGCGAGCAAGTGGGTGGGTGAGCGAGCGAGTGGGATGAGCGAGTGGGCGAGGGCGAGCGAGTGGGTGAGTGAGCGAGCGACTGAGCGGGCGAGCGAGCGGGTGGGCGAGCGGCGAGCGGGCGAGCGAGCGGGTGAGCGAGCGGGTGGGTGGGCGAGCGGGTGGGTGGGCGAGCGGGGCGAGCGAGCGGGCGAGCGGGTGAGCGAGCGAGTGGGCGGGCGAGCGGGTGAGCGAGCGGGCGAGCGGGTGAGCGAGCGGGCGAGCGAGTGAGTGGGCGGGCGAGCGAGTGAGTGGGCGAGCGAGCGAGTGGGTGAGCGGGCGGGCGAGCGGGCGGGCGAGCGAGCGAGCGACCCGGCGGTCCGGCTTCGATTCCCGCTCACGGCCAACACCGGTGACGAATATCTGAACCGGTCCTGGGCCTCCCGTAGGTCGACTCAGCCTTAAATGATTAACCTTGTGCTGTGTGTAAACATCGCCACTGTGGAGACAAAGGTTGCCGGGCGTGGCGCCGACCACCCACACCCCCTGACGACGCCTGCTGTATATTTGGAGTTTGCGTGTCTCTCTCTCATCATGATCACGGTGGCTAGGAGATGTTAACTACCTCGCCTGGTCTGCAGGAGGTCGTGGGTTCGATCCCCGACCCTGACGCCTGCTGCATATTTGGAGTTTGCGTGTCTCTCTCTCTCATCATCATCACGGTGGCTAGGAGATGTTAACTACCTCGCCTGGTATGCAGGAGGTCGTGGGTTCGATCTCGACCCTGACGCCTACTGCTGTATATTTGGAGTTTGCGTGTCTCTCTCTCTCATCATCATCACGGTGGCTAGGAGATGTTAACTACCTCGCCTGGTATACAGGAGGTCATTGGTTCGATCCCGACCCTGACGCCTGCTGCTGTATATTTGGAGTTTGCGTGTCTCTCTCCCCGTAGTCGCTTTGATTTCAAGTGGTCAACAAAAAAAAACATGTTTTTCTGGCCTGGACTTTTGCAGCTGTTTTAGACTAATTTCAGGGTGCTGATTACAAATCTGATCTCAGATTTGCTCTATCACATCTCATTTTTATGCTATCGGCATACCCCATTTTCATTGATTTTACCCGAAATTAACTCTGTCGCTTATGATTGCAAGTTGTTGCGAGTCAGTGACTGCTTTAGTGTTAAAATATGGTGCTGTATTTTTAGGATAGTGTGTTTACAATATCATTTTATGTAGATATCCACATTTATTTAATATTTTTCTTCTGTAGTTTTTTTTTTAAATGCAATATTTTATATCTCAAAAACCTGATGTTATAGACAAAAACTGATGCCAGATTTGGAATCGGCACCCCAACCGTTGGAATACCTTATGCCAGAAAAAAGTGTGTTGACCAGTGTTATTCCTCCAGGCCCTCCGTTTTTTTTCCACGCGATAAGCCACTTGGTCGGACTGTCATCTGCGGCGGTCGCTTCTGACACAGAGCTACATAGCTCAGTGGGGCTTCACCTGGAAAAAAAATCTAAATAGTCTGCAGTTTCTATTCTTTGGGTCTTTCGCTAAAGTCACGTAGATAGGTTCAAAGAAAATATCAAAAATAACAAAAAAGCTACGACGTTTCGATCGTAACGTTATTTTCTTTGAATCTATCTAACGTGACTTTGCCGAAAGACCCAAAGAAATATGAATTCCTGCAGTCACGAAAGCTTTAAAGTCGAGTCTATCGTTTAGTTAAGTCCCTACTACTGATCTCTGTCACTCTTGCAAATGAGACTCCTCTTGGAGTCTCACCTGGTTACATAAAATAACCTCTAAACGTGAACCCTCACCTCTCATCTGAGCGAGTTCTGCGTAGTTGTTTAGGGTGTGCTGACACTCTGTCTTATTCGTTTACCCTCTTGATACGTTTCCTCTCCTGCTCATGACAACCAAATCAAGCGAGAAAGAAATAGGGGTCCCGTTGGAAGCGGCATCACTCACTCACTCACGCTCGCACGCTCGCTCGCTCGCTCGCACGCAGCACAATGATGGAGCTGTGGAGTTCACGGCGCGCGTCTGGCTCACGTTGAAACCGGCAGAGGTTATCCGTTTGCGGTGACGTCACTCGGCCGATCGGTGTACATTCTTGTGTTTGGGGGGACGGGGACAAGTTTGGCTTCAGGTTGACGGCTGTTAAATTCAACAGTGTGGTGTTTATCGTTACCTTCCCCGGAGGGATGACCGGGCCGAGTGAAAGCCTGGCCCGGGATTTGAAATTCATAGCAGGGTGTGACCTGTCGCGTCATCGTCGCCACCTTGGGAAATATCTGCTGTTGGTTTTGGTTGATTTTGTTTAACCGGGCGGGAACTCATTAGACCAGGGTGAGATTTGTTTGGGCTGGGCCTCGTGACACCTCGCTCACGAGGGTGCAGACTCTGTAATTGTAGGCCTCGTCTAGACTCCGAGCTAATCATCAAGACGCTGAGCTAATCATCCAGCCACTTGCCTAATGAAGCCACTGGGCCAAGCATACAGCCAGTGGCCTAATCATCCAGACACTGGCCTAATTATTCAGCCCCTAGCCTATTCATCCAGACACTGAGCTAATCATCCAGACGCTGAGCTAATCATCTTGGTTCATTCGGTAAAGTCACGTAGAAGGGAAATAATAAAATAATAAAAATAAAACATAATAAAATAATTCTCACGACGTTTCGGCCACAACGCAAGCAGCCGTCCTCAGGTGAAGACCAGGTCTGTCGGGGAGACGCTGTCTGTTTTATTTTTATTATTTTATTACTTCCCTTCTACGTGACTTTACCGAAAAAAACCAAGAAGATGAATCCCTGCAGTCACGAAAGCTTTAAATCGAAACTGAGCTAATCATCCAGCCACTTGCCTAATGAAGCCACTGGGCCAAGCATATAGCCAGTGGCCTAATCATCCAGACACTGGCCTAATTATTCAGCCCCTGGCCTATTCATCCAGCCACTGAGCTAATCATCCTATCCACTTGCCTAACCCAGCGACTTGCCTAATCATCCGGATTCTGGCCTAATCCAGACAATGGTCTAACCCAGCCAACTGAGCTGATCATCCAGGCACTGGCCTAATCATCCACACGCTGTGCCAACCATCAAGCCACTGGCCTCATTATTCAACCACTGGCCTCATTATTCACTGGCCTAATATAGCGACTTGCTTGATCATCCAGACGCTGGCCAAATCATCCAGACAATGGCGTAACCCATCCCCTGGCCATACATCCACACGACGCTGGCCTCATCATCCAGACACCGGCCTAATCCAGCAAAATTGACAGAGAGAACACGCAAACCGTTAGAGCTGGCATCGTCAAGAGTCGGGATCTAACCCACGACCCCCTGTACACCGGGCGAGGTAGTTAACATCTCCTAGCCACCGTGGTGATGATGAGAGAGAGACACACAAACTACAAATATACAGCAGGCATCGTCAGGGTCGCGATCGAACCCACGACCTCCTGTGTACCAGGCGGAAGCGACGTGGGGCAGTGATCACGTCCTTGTTGACGCCCTTGGGCAAGGCCTTCAGTGACCCTCGACCCCCCCCCCGCCGCACTCACGGCGTGTCTGGTCACGCGTGTGCAGCTGCAGGGTCCGCTGGTCCTGCAGGTGGTGAAGGTGCGAAACGTCGCCGCCCCCCGGGAACAGGAGAGCTGCCAGGGAGCTCCCCGCATGCTGCGTCTGCAGCTCACGGACGGGCACATCTCCTGCCCCGCCATCGAGTTCAGAGCGCTGTCGACGATCGGGTACGCGGACAGACTCGCTCGCTCGCACGCTCACTCACTCGCACGCTCGCTCGCTCGGAGCACACACACTCACTCGCTTGCTCGCACGCTCACTCACTCGCTCGCACACTCACACGCTCACTCGCTCACTCGCTCACACGCTCGCTCACACACTCACTTGCTCGCTCACACACTCACTCGGAGCACACACACTCACTCGCTCACACACTCACACACTCACTCGCTCGCTCACACACTCACTCGCTCACACACTCACACACTCGCTCGCTCACACACTCACTTGCTCGCTCACACACTCACTCGGAGCACACACACTCACTCGCTCACACACTCACACACACACTCGCTCGCTCGCACACTCGCTCACACACTCACTCGCTCGCTCACACACTCACTCGCTCACACACTCACACACTCGCTCGCTCGCACACTCGCTCACACACTCACTCGCTCGCTCACACACTCACTCGCTCACACACTCACTCGGAGCACACACACTCACTCGCTCGCTCACACACTCACTCGCTCACACGCTCGCTCGCTCACACACTCGCTCGCACACTCACTCGCTCGCTCACTCACTCACTCGCTCGCTCGCTCACACACTCACTCACTCGTTCGCACACTCGCTCACTCGCTCGGAGCACACGCTCGCTCACTCACCCGCTCGCTCACTCACCCGCTCGCTCACCCCACTTACTCACTCACTCACCCACTCGCTCGCTCACACACTCACTCGCTCGCTCACACACTCACTCGCTCGCTCGCTCACACGCTCGCTCACACACTCGTTCCCTCGCTCACACACTCCCTCGCTTGCTCACTCACTCGCTCGCTCACACACTCGCTCGCTCACTCACCCACTCGCTCACCCCACTTACTCACTCACTCACCCACTCTCTCACAACACACGCCTCGCTCACACACTCACTCGCTCGCTCACACACTCACGCGCTCGCTCACTCGCTCGCTCACCCACTCACTCACCCCACTCGCTCACCCCACTCACGCACCCCACTCACTCACCCCACTCGCTCACCCCACTCACCCCACTCACTCACCCCACTCACTCACCCACTCTCACAACACACGCTCGCTCGCTCACCCACTCGCTCACTCACCCACTCGCTCACCCACTCGCTCACCCACTCGCTCACACACTCACTCACCCCACTCGTTCACCCCACTCACTCACCCACCCACTCGCTCGTAATCGCTCCACGTGCTCACTCATACACTCACCCCACTCACTCACCCACTCGCAATCACTCCACGCACTCACTCACAACACACGCTTGCTGACTGAAGTACTCAAACACTCACTCACTCACATACACACTCACCCACTGACTTAGTCACTCACTCACCCACCCACTCACCCACCCACTCGTTCGCAGTCGCGCCACGCATTCGCTCACAACACACGCTCGCTCAGTAACTCACTCGCTGATCCATTCACTCACTCAATTACTCAAAGACTCACTCACACACTCGCCCACTCACTCAGGCACACACTCGCAATCACTCTACGCACTCGTTTATAGTAACACTGCTCACTCTGAAACTCACTCACTGATCTATTCACTCACTCAATTACTCACCCACTCACTCAGCCACGAACTATCCCACCCTCTGACTCATTGACTCACGATCTCACTCGAATGCACCCATTCACTCAGCCACCCATCCGCTGACTCACTCATTCACTCTCCCACTGACCTATTCATCCACTCACTCATTCATTCTTCCACTGACTCAACCATGCGCTCACTCAGTTACTCACCCATTCACTCAGCCACCCATCCACTGACTCACTCATTCACTCTCCCACTGACCTATTCATCCACTCACTCATTCATTCTTCCACTGACTCAACCATTCGCTCACTCCCTCACTCATTCATTCACCAACTCACTCCCCTAGACAATCACTCACCCGCCCGCCCACGCATCCACCCACCCACCAATGCAAGCTCATATGTGCACCATGATGCTCCATTGTGTCTGTAGATGTAGTCAATTTGCCCGGTGGTTAATGGCTGCACCGAATGTCTTCACACGGAGTTCATAATTTACTTTTCCCGGCTGCCTTGTCCATGCACACGCGCGCGCGTGCGCGCACACACAATGCAAAGACAAAGATCCCCCTCGTACAGCCTTAGCAGGCTTTTGGGGCAAGTGCTGCTTGCGGGAACATAGGAACGCCGGCACGGCGCACGAGGGGGCGGGTGGGCCAGCACCACGCCCGGCCGCCTTTGTCTCCCTACTGGCGATGTTTACACACCGCACCAGGTACTCATTTTAGGCTGAGTCAACCTAGGGGAGGTCCAGGACCGGTAAAAAAAAATCGTCACCGGTGTTGGCCGTGAGCGGGAGCCGAGCTCGGGGTCGCCGGGTTCGTAGCGCGGCGGCGGCGCTAACCGCGGTGCCACCGTTCCCACTCGTGCACAGACACGCACACATGCACACACACAGACACGCACAGACACACACACAGACACGCACAGACACACACACAGACACACGCACACGCACAGACACGCACACACACACACACAGATCAACAAGCAAGCTCTCACACACACACACAGACACGCACACACGCGCACACACACAGACACGCACACACGCGCACACAGTCACGCACACGCACACAGATCAACAAGCAAGCTCTCACACACACCTTCAGGTGTTCACCCCTACCCACGTGATTATCGGCTCCAAATCCATAGCGGCGCGTGCGTGTGCACGGCGTCGTAAGCCAAACAATCTCTGCAAGTTCGCCGCGTGATTTGCTCGCACCTATCAAAGGTGCCTTAATCCTTTACGCGTTGATCTCTTGGTTCGATCCCCCCGTCATTACCGGAGCCTCGGACCCTTAAACTCCAGCGTGATTGATAATTGGTTTTTTACCCTTCTATCTGGCAACAAAACTGACACTTTTTTTTTACAAGGAGTCATGTTTGCATAGACCACAATACCTGCAGTCGTAATGCAAACAAAAAACACAACTCTGATAATGTGCACTGTCCTTGAAGTTGTTTGGTCCACACCCGAGACAGCTTTCCTTAGAGCCTAGTCTCACATGGGTTGGACCAGATGACGCCAAAAGGCGCACAACTCAAAGACAATGCACCATCAGGGTATGAGAGCTCGGGGTTAAGCATTTACACCATTGGAACCTCATTTGCCAGTAGAACAATATGATTATTGTTTTTTTTTTACCCTTCTATCTGGCAACAAAACTGACACCTTTTTTTACAAGGAGTCATGTTTGCATAGACCACAATACCTGCAGTCGTAATGCAAACAAAAAACACAACTCTGATAATGTGCACTGTCCTTGAAGTTGTTTGGTCCACACCCGAGACAGCTTTCCTTAGAGCCTAGTCTCACATGGGTTGGACCAGATGACGCCAAAAGGCGCACAACTCAAAGACAATGCACCATCAGGGTATGAGAGCTCGGGGTTAAGCATTTACACCATTGGAACCTCATTTGCCAGTAGAACAATATGATTATTGTTTTTTTTTTACCCTTCTATCTGGCAACAAAACTGACACCTTTTTTTACAAGGAGTCATGTTTGCATAGACCACAATATCTGCAGCCGTAATGCAAACGAAAAACATAACTCTGATAATGTATGCACTGTCCTGGAAGTTGATTGGTCCACACCCGAGACAGCTTTCTTTAGAGCCTAGTCTCACATGGTGTTGGACCAGATGACGCCAAAAGGCGCACAACTCAAAGACAACGCACCATCAGAGTATGAGAGCTCGGGGTAAGCATTTACACTATTGGAACCTCATTTTCCAGTAACAAAATATGATAATTGTTTTTTTTTACCCTTTTATCTGGCAACAAAACTGACACCTTTTTTTTTTACAAGGAGTCATGTTTGCATAGACCACAAATACCTGCAGCCATAAAAAACATAACTCTGCGTGATTATCGCAGAGGCTAGAGGCCGCGCTGAGATATTAAACTACGATTCGTTTTTTTATTTTTACCAGGTAAGTGAAGCTCATGGACCACGAATGCCCGGACTAAACCGTTATCCGCTGCTCAAACCGTGGCGGCAGCAGCAGCTGATGATGATGATGCGAATGCTCGGGCACTCGATGATGAACAAACGAAAATGTAAATATCTTTGATGCGTGTGACTGGAGTACGTTTTTTAAAGTATTATTATTTTTTACCAGGTTAAAAATTATTAAGCGACCTGTTCACAAATGAATGCTCATTAGAGTGGCGTAGACATTTATAAAAAAAATATTTTATTTACAAAAAAATATATTTTCTATTTTTTTGTTTTTTGACCTGGTAAAGCCGACCGAGCTACGTAGTTCTTCTTCAGAAGCCACTTGTCCACAAATGATAGCTCATTAAAGTGGTGTGGACATTTATAAATGTTTTTTAATTCCTTAGTTTTTTTTAATTTTTACCAGGTAAGGCCCACTGAACTGCACAGCTCCTCTTCAGAAGTGACCCGTTCACAAATGATAGCTCAACGAAGGGGCGTGGAAATTAATAGCGGCAGCAAAATGACTCTGAATGCTCGTCGTTGATTCTAAATGTGGAGGGGAGAAACCAGAGGACCCGGAGAAAAATCCACGCGACCACAGGGGGAGAGAGAGAGAGACACGCAGACTCCAAATATACAGCAGCAGGCGTCAGGGTCGTGATCGAACCCACGACCTCCTGCACACCAGGCGAGGTAGTTAACATCTCCTAGCCACGGTGATGATGATGATAGAGAGAGAGAGACACGCAAACTCCAAATATACAGCAGGAGTCAGGGTCTGGATAGAGCCCACGACCTCCTGCATACCAGGTGAGGTAGTTAACATCTCCTAGCCACGGCGATGATGATGATAGAGAGAGAGACATGCAAACTTAAAATATACAGTAGCAGGCGTCAGGGTCTGGATAGAGCCCACGACCTCCTGCATACCAGGTGAGGTAGTTAACATCTCCTAGCCACGGTGATGATGATGAT